CGGGGGCGGGCGGCCCTGGAGGGTCGCAGGCAGCGCCGGGAAGCGGTGGGTGGGGCGTCCGGGGAAGCCGCCTAGCTGCGCACTCCTCGGGGGTCTCCCCGGCCGCCCCCCGCAGCTCCAGCGCCGCGGCACGTGCCCAGTGTCTGGGGTCCGGGCGCGCGCAGGGTGGTGCGGGGCGCAGAACCTTGAGGGTAGGGGGGAGTGGCACCCTGCTCCGCTGGGAGACCAGCAGCTCGCCGCGGGCCCTGGGGCGGGAGTGGAGGGGGGGGGAGTGGAGGGGTCCAGGACTGGCGAGAACTGGTACCCCAAAGCGGCTGGCGGGGGTGGGGGAGGTGTTTATTTGATTACATTTTGTTTTGTAAACACATAAAGCGCTTACAGTGCTTCGAGCACTATTCTAAACGCTTTTTATTCATGTAATCCTTAAAACAATCTTCCAAAGCAAGTACTACTATTATCTCTTTTTTTTTCTCGAGGCTTAAACTGAGCCACAGAGAGATTAAGTGGTTCCAAAAAGTCCTCCCCCAAGTGCAACCTCAGAAACGCAAAGCCCCCAGACTTTCGTCCCTGGAACGCTGGGGCGCTGCTCCAGGCAGTTCCTGGCTCGCCCCTGCCTTACAACGGCCCCCAGTGAATCCGAGTCCCCCTCGCACTCAGACCCTAACGGTGCAGACTCTTAGCATCACTCTTTGTGTGGACCCTCAACGCGCTGCTCCAGAACTCCCGGGAGGGCTTCCTCCTCCCCCAGGCCACTCCGCCTCCTCCTCCCGGCCGGCGGCCACCAAAACCCGGAGACGTGGCACCTGCGCACTGGGGACTGGGGCCACGCTCGCAGCTAAACTGGGCATGCTCAGCCGCCTAAGCGGGTCCGGCTGGCCAGGAGGAAAGAGTGAGCCTGGCCGCCAGTGCAGTGTGGGGATTGGAGGGGGGATGTCCACGCTCTTGATGGGCAGTAGCAGTTGTAGATACCAAAGTCTCGTTCCTCTGGCACGTCCTGGCCTTTTCCAGGCAGGGCTAAAAGGGGGTGGGAGGAGGGGGGGTGATCAAAAGTTTACCAGCTGGGCATCCTTAAGTGGGAGGGGGCTGAGCGCCCACAGACAACTCCCCAGCTGAATTGCTAAGCTGCAATTTTAGCTGAGCCCTTAAACTAGCTCCTCAGCTGAGCCTGTCTGCCTGTGCGGAAGCCAAGAAAAATAGCCTAAACCAAGTTTCCCAGCCAGATTGGAAAGGAAGGAAAGACAGATCCCAGGGAAAAGCTGGGTGGCTCTTCACTGTTCAGGGGTCTTCGAGATGGGGTGATGTTGAGTAATGCCAGCGTAGTCCAGCAGCTCTTTCTCAAACTGTGTTGTGCGCACAAATCCTCAGGGAATCTTTTTAAAGGGCAGATTTTGATTCAGCAGTTCTGGGGTGGAACCCCGAGATTCTGCATTTCTAGCATCTCCTGGGTCACGCTAGTGTTGCTGGTTTAAGTAAGATCAGACTCTGAGTAGCAAAAGGTGAGGGCAGTGTTTTAGGCCTGTTCTCTACTTATATTTATGAAAACTAAGGTTTAGAAAGGCAAAGCAATTTGCCCTGGGTCACACAGCCGATAAGTAGTGTAGCTAATCTCAAACCCAGTACTCCAGGACATCGTGTGTCCGTGTTCCTGTATTCCCCAGGTATCACCCATAGACAGATGAGCCGGAAGCTGTCATCTGTGTGTCTTGACCATTTCCACAGTGGAATTTAATTTAATATATAGTACACCTACACCTACAGTATCAGCCTCCGCTGTATAAAGCCTCTACATTTTGGTGTGTAAAACAACTATTCGCTCACAATTCTGTGAATCAGCTATTTGGGCTGGAATCAACAGAGCAGTTCTGTTGTTTTCTGCTGGATTCTCTCATGCTGTTGCAGATGTGTGAAGCTTGGAGCCTCATCCGATGTCTGGGATGAAAGGATGTTCTCTCTCTATGGCTTCTTCCTATGGTGAGCTTCTGGCTTTCAGCAGCAAGGGAAGGAAAGCCCCAATTTAAAATAGCATTTCATACTTCCTTTTGCTGATGTCCTATTGACGAAAGAAAGTCGCATGGCCCTGTCCAGATGCAAAGCATGGAAAAAAATAATAAACTTCACTTTCTGATGGAAGGGGATGCAAAATAGGGCTTGTTTGTTTTTCCGATCTACCATACCAGCTTCCATAAAACGAGCCCTTTGGCCCTAGGATTCACTCAAAGTTTTATAGATCAAGCCTATCTTTAACTTGTACATATTGGTAAACCCAACTGTAGCAATCATTTATTGTTATGCTGTCAATCTAATAGTGCGTTTATTAAGGAATTTTAGCTCAGTGGGGTATAAACATTAAATGTTTAAAATGTTTTTCAGGGCACCTGGGTGGCTCAGTCGGTTAAGCGTCTGCCTTTGGCTCAGGTCATGATCCCGGGGTTCTGGGATCGAGTCCCGCATCAGACTCCTTGCTCTGTGGGGAGCCTGCTTCTCCCTCTCCTCCCCACTTGTGTTCTCTCTCACTATCTCTCTCTCTCTCTCAAATAAATAAATCTAAAATAAATAAATAAAGTATTAAATAAATAAAGAAATAAATAAATAAAATGTTTTTTAAAGTACTAAATTCAATTTAATTCTGTTGAAGCTCCCTTTCCTTCCCTTTAATGCCATCTTAGATAGCCATTCACCCAACAAACATTTTTGAGACATTTTTTTAAAGATTTATTTATTTTGAGAGAGCGAGAGTGTGCACGCGCACTAGGGGCTGAGGGAGAGGGAGAATCTCAAGCAGACACCCCGCCTAGCGTGGAGCCCAATGCAGGGCTCCATCTCACAACTGTGAGATCATGACCCGAGCCAAAATGAAGAGTCAGATGCTTAACCAACTGAGCCACTCAGGTGCCCCCATTTTTGAAACTTTTTAAATGTGCCAGACACTATGCTTTGCCCAAGATACCAAGGTCAACACCAGAGGCAAAATCATTTCCCCTATGAAGCTTAGATACTATCAGAGGAGACAGACAATAAAAAGCATATCATATTAAAAGGATATAACATCAAGTAGTGTTGAGAGCCAGGATGGAAAGGAAAAGCAAAAGCTTCATGAGGCAGATAGGAGGGGCCACTATTTTAGATAGGGGTCAGAGATAGCCTCTCTGAGGATGCGGCATTGAGTGGAGACCTAAATGAAGAAAGAGATGTGAATATCTGGGGAGCAGTGTTTTCAGCAGAGGAAACAGCAAAAGCCCTGAGATGAGAGTGAGATTGGCACATTCAAAAAACAGAAAGGAGTCCAGATTGGCAGAGCAAGGCATAGAATGAGTGGAATTGGTGTCACAGAGGCAGGAGGGGGCCAGGCCATGTGAGGGCACAGAAAGGACTTTGGGCTTCAGGCCAAGTATGGTATGAACCTATGGGAAGATGTTGAGCAGGGTCAGAACATGATCTTATCAGTGGTTTAGCGAGCTCACATTGAGATCACCTATAAAGGCAAGAGATCAAAAAGGGAGCCCAGTAAAAGGACAGAGCGGTGGTTCCGCTTGGGCTGAGTTTATCATCTTCAGGGTTAAAACTCGGACTATGTTACATCTTCAACTTTAGACTCAATTTAAATCCCATCTTCTCTCTGTCCCCTTGCCGGCTCCAGCTGGATCCATTGCTCCTTGTAGTAGAAGGCTGGTGACACAGGATCTGGTCCTTAAACACCTTCATGCCACCTGCCCTTCAAGTTCCGGCTGGTCCAGCATGTTGGGTAGGAAGGAAGAAGGAGGAAATGAATGAATGTATTCACTCCTGACTTGTGGCCACTGTGGTCCTCTCTCAGTTCACTGTGGCTGCTTCTCTGTCTAAAACACCAGTGACACTGTAGCAGGTGTCCCATTGCCTGTTCTCTGGCATGAAGGACATAAGTAAAGCCCTTGGAGGGTCCTTCTGGACTCCCACCCTCCCAACACTGCTCCTTTTATTCCAAGCCCACAATGCTCTCCATGGTGGCCTAGCTCAGTGCATCTTACTGCTAGGGCTTACATGCCAGGCAGGCACCCTACTGGGTGGGCCACCCACAAGAAAGCTAAGCCCAGCAGCCTTCCACAGTGCCCACTGGAAGTACTAGAGAAAATAGCCCATCGGAGCCAGGTTAAAAGGTTGGTAGGGAAGGAGTGGCTAAGATAGAGTTGTTTCTGCCATAAGGAGGATACCTAGATCTAATTATGGGGGCTTTCTTTAGAATATGAGTGCCTGGATACCTCTTTGTACTCAACTGCAGGTTCTTTTTTTTAAGATTTTATTTATTTATTTGACAGAGAGAGAGACAGCCAGCAAGAGAGGGAGGGAACACAGCAGGGGGAGTGGGAGAGGGAGAAGCAGACTCCCAGCAGAGCAGGGAGCCCAACTCAGGGCTCAATCCCAGGACCCTGGGATCATGACCTGAGTCAAAGGCAGACGCTTAACGACTGAGCCACCCAG